AATTTTCTAAATTGGTCGATGATAATCATCGGCAGATTTTTCAAATAACATGTACACCGGATGCTTTACTATAGCCATTCTGATTAGTAATATGATGACTTTTTTAAATGTCTATGTAACAAAAAAAATTTTTTCAGTAGCACGTTCTTCATGACTTAACGAGCCTTTCAAAACCTTCGGATCAAGTGGGATCAAGTGTTTAGAGGTAGGTAGCTTATACGTGAAGTGTAGCAAGAATATGTAAGGTCATGTTAGTTGGTTGAACTTCTACAGCTAAAAATAAATACTTTTGTGCTTAACAGGCGAAAAACCAGCAAAAAGTTAGTGCAGTAAACCAATTTTTTTATATTTTATTTATCACCATTTATTTATATTTTCTAATACATTTTGTAAACAAGATAAAACTATATCACTTTTTTCTATTTCTTGAATTTCTTCAGGCTCTTCTGTACCTTCTTCTGAATCTTCGGGCTCTTCAATTCTGTCATTTTCAGTAAGCACATTATCTCCATCTTCAAGTCTTTCCAAAAATGATTTAATATTTTTATTTATTCCCTTTTTGTAATATTGCTCACAATGTCGGCATCCATATTCCATTTGATTGTAGCAGTGCCAATAGAAACCATGACCACAGATTAATATGGTGCCATCATTATTGTTGTTCAATGCTTCGTAACAATTGTCACAAAGCTCCAGTAAGGGAGGAGCTCCAGTGCTGTAACCCGTTGGCAAGTGTGTAACACCAACTTCTTCATTTAAAACCTTAAGTTTATACTTTATATATCTTTTTTTTTTTTTTCTTGCTTTTTAATTGAATCTTTTTTTTTTCCTTTACTCATTGTACTAGGAACCTTTTCAAGATGCTGGAATGCTTTATGAAAATAATCTATTAGAAATAATGATGTTTTGTTTGTCAAATATTCTAAAGCCGGAGACGTATACAGATATCTTTTTTTTTGAATGAAATGCTTCTTTAAATAGCAATTCTTTGTTCACATCTATTTTTTTAATTTTTTTTAATTTATTTTATTTTTAATTTATTTTATTTCATTTGATCAGTGTTATTATTATTATTATTATCTTTAAATAAAGTAATTTTATTTATTGCTTACCTAAAATACAAGCCTGCTTAATAATTGTTTCAATACTGTCACTAGAAGATGTGTTGGCCCGTATTTTACTATGAAAGTTTTCAATGAAATAGTCATTGAAGTGTACAAGAAACATCCTAATTGCTTCAAACATTGGATAGTTTTTGTCCTTCCAATAAAAGATATCTGACAAGAACACGAGAGGGGCCTTATTGTAATTTTGCAATTCTAGCGTAATGCAAAGGTTCAAATATGAAAAACAGTTTTGATATACTTATCGAAGGAACCCGAACGAAAAAGAATTGCATATACGTCTAAAGTTGCTGGAACTATATTATCAAGAAGATCGACTAACATCCTATATTCTATGCCTTTGCATAGAGTTCCAAATTTTTCAAGTACTTTTTTTTTTATTTTTAGCCATCCTTGGTAAACAAGTTCAAGGAGAAAATTTATTCTCCATGGCTTTGGCCTTTTTGCAAGAACCTTTTATTTGCCAAAGACCACATAAAATAGCTTCTTAAAAAAAGAATAATAGACTATTAGAACTTGCTCCCGACTATTCAACAAGACATGCAGCGGACCTAATACAGGTATAAAGGAATTAACAGCTGCCGATATTTGTGAATTTGCATTTTGTTGTAGGTGAGTTATTGCCTTTTGTATAAATAGTTGTCCAGGCCAGTTGGCGACGACTGGCATTACATAATTATTGTCGCAGCTGATGCTAAAAACGGCTGATGCTAAAATTCACATGATCATCTGATGATCATTTGTTCTCGGTACGTCGACTTGTCAAATGAGGTGCGTCAACTTGTCCAACTTATCAAACAAGGTGCGTTATGTGTTACAACTAATTTTTTTTTTTTGTCGAATTTCATTTCTGCATTTACGATTAAACTTTGACTGGAACATATGTTAAAAATACTTTATGATTATGGCATAGATGAAATATAGAAATATAAGTGTACCGAAAATTCAAGTGCCATTGTGAAAAAAAAAGGTTAGCAGTTTGCACGGTTATTTTAATTTTTATATTACAAAGATGTTTACTTACATTATAGCATGACAGAAAACCTTTATGCTGCGAAAAATTGAAGTGTTGCTTGTTAAAAAAAAAAAAAAAAAAGGTTAGTGACCTCGTGATTTTAAGTTGAAATATGAAATGCGACCAGTCTTATACTTTGTTTGCTTCATCTGCAATTTAGTACAGCACTATTTCTAACTCTCTAATCTATAAAAATAGAGTTGGTTGTTTTATGGCCTTCACAGTTTTTGACTTCTACAAAGCAAGCTGTGATACTCATGGAATTGTAAATCGTGACAGTGAAATGAATGCACCTTCTCTATTTCAAAAAAAAAAAAAAGTTAGTGGGCTCTGTGAACTTCACGATTCTTACTAGGCTACAAGTCTTATACTCCATTTGCTTTCAATACTTCACCTGTTTTAACATCGCTAGTCTGTAAAAAAAGGCTAGTGGCTTTAATGGCCTTCATAGTTTTTGAGTTCTGTAAAGGCAAGATTAATACTCATGATATTGTGGCAGTGAATTCGAATGCTACTTCTCAAAATTAAAAAAAAAAAAAGGTTAGTGGGCTCTATAAACTTCGTGATTTATAAAATGCAGCCAGAATATTGAAATCTATTCGGTTTTGCCTGCAATTCCAATACTTTATTGGTTCCACTATTATGGTTACTGGTCGCTAGTCTATAGCTTTCATACCCCTATAGTTTTTTGAGTTCTATAAAGGCAGGCTTAATACTAATAGAATTCTATATTATGACAGTGAATTCGAATATGACATCTGATCCCCCCCAAAAAAAAAAAAAAGTAGTAGGCTCTGTGAACTTTGCGATTTTATATTTCACTAGTTTTAACACCACCGATTACTGGTGTATAAAAAAGGTTAGTGCTGTTATTATCTTCATGATTTTTGGGTTCTATAAAGGCAAGCTTAATAACATGAAATTGTAAATTATGATAGTGAATTCGAATGTGACTTCATTTCCAAAAAAAAAAGGGTTAGTAGGTAGCGGACTCCATGAAACTTCGCAATTCTATACTGGATTATGAAATGTATTTAAGCCTTACACTATTTACTTATCTGAAACTTTATTACTTCACTATTTATTGTTTCCATTATCGCTGATCTGTAAAAAAAAGGTTAGTGGTTTCATAGTTTTGAGTTCTATAAAGGCATCCTGGGAT